AAAGTATTGAGATGAAATTTTGTTATTGACCAAATACTTATTTTCCACCATAATTTGCAAATAAATTCTTTAAAAATCCTACAATGTGATTTTCTGGATTTTTTTTTCTCATTTTGTCTCTCATAGTTGAGGTATACCTATGATGACAATTACAGGCCTCTCTCATCTTTTTAAGTGGGAGAACTTGCACAATTGGTGGCTGACTAAATACTTTTTTCCCCCACTGTAACTTGTACTATAAGTGCAGTGTTGCATGATTGGTTGCAAACTTACAGAGGTGAAGTCCTGGTTTGTTCCGAGCATGTAAAAAAAAAAACAAGAAACATTAATTATTAAAACTGAATTTATGATATGAGACGCAGGCATTCATTGCATTCGGGGGGCGAGGGGCACATTATTTGGCACTGGACACTTACTGTCAGTATATACTGATGATATTTAAGCTTTCCTACTTTTTTATTGGCCAGGGAAGAGTCTTGTTTCAGGAGCTGAGCGAGGTGAGACAGTTTGCCACTTGCTGCCGAGAAGATCCACTCTTTCTCAAGAGGATCCAGCTATGAACGAAATAAACAAGAAAAGTCCTTTACATTAGTGATATTACACTGAAATCAAATTTTAAAATTCAGTATCTCGCTCATAGTCCCATGACTAGTTACATTTAAAATACCGTTCAAAAATTTGGGGCTGGAAAGATTTAAAAAATGTTTTTGAAAGCAGTCTCTTCTGCTCAAGGCTGCATTTATTTGATCAAAAATACAGTAAAAACACTATTATTGTGAAATAATCTTACAATTTCAAATAACTGTTTTCTCTTGTGATATATTTTAAAATGTACTTTATTCCTGTGACGCAAAGCTGAATTTTCAGCATCATTACTCGTCACATGAGCGTCACATGATCCTTCAGAAATCATTCTAGTATGCTGATTTGCTGCTCAAAAAAACATCTCTTATTATTACCAATGTTGAAAACAGTTGTGCTGCTTAATATTTTGTGGAAACCATGATATAGTTATTTAGGATGAACAGAAAATTCAAAAGAACATTTATTTGAAATAAAAGTCTTATGTAACATTATAAATGTCTTTATTGTATGGTTGATCAATTTAATGTGACCTTAGTGAATAAAAGTATGCATTTGTTTCTTTCAACAAAAAAAAAGAGAAAAAAATACCACATTTGAACAGTTTCATATTGTCTTAGCAAATGCCTTCATACCGGTTTCATAAAGTCCACAAAATCCAGAATATTTACCATGGTAAATTTGATTCCATATAGTAAGTAAATAGTCATTTAGAAGATGTTTTTATCTAAAGAAACTTACAATACTTCTTAAAGGGAGACCCTGGAATAACTTGATTTTAAGTTTCTTAATCAGGGCACAAAATAACCACTGTCAAATTATGATGAATTAATATAAGATCTGCGTCAGACAGTCTAAGACTCTTTCTGTTTTTTAAATGCTTTTGATGACAGTGGAGATTAAAACCATAGTTTATTGTAGTAACAGTAACTACAGTAAGAAACGGTATTCTGCTGTAAATATACCATGATAAATGTTTCTTATAACGTGTGTTTTGATGAGTTATGTGTTATTACACTCACAGCCACAGCGGTGGATCCCAAACTTCCTCCACACTCCTCATCCTGCTCGGATTCACTCTGGGAAAGGAACACGATATGATATGATTCACAAAATCACTCGCAAAACCACCTGTCAGTATCACCTGGAGCTCGGAGGAGTCTGTGGGAAACTGTACAGTTAGTAACATAAATAAAGTGACACACTAGAGTGACTCCAATGAGCACCAAACTGCTCTAACTATGCCTTTTGTTTTTTTTTTAATCATACGCCATTTTACCAGAAGACAAGTTTTGAGAGTCAAATTCTCTTTATGTACCAAAGTGTCAGTCAGGCTGATTAATGTGAGGGAAAATGGAGCAGTTGGGTCATTTCTGCATTTCTGGTTAATTGTTTTCAGGACAGCTGTGGAGAGTCCGAGAGGACAGTGGGAAAACACTTGCACTCTTTCATATAAGCTACACTAACAAGGTCTCTTTTCCTAAAGACTGCATGCAATATTTGTTTACCTGTGCTTAAATAGGAACTAAGCCAGGCAGATTTCCTTTTGAAACAAGAATAATGAGTGACTGAGATACTGAATAATTGCATGCAAAGTTATAATTTTTTTTTAAGTGAAAATCAACCAGACTGGTAACAAATAATCACAGTAGTGAAACCCAATTGCAGTAATAAATATGTCAATGAAAGAGATTCGCTGCATTGTAAAATATTAAAAAGACCACATTTTATGCAAATGATTTCAGCTTCAATGCATCATACGAATAATTCTTATGAAGGACTATTCAGTTTTGTCTGGCTTCTTGGAAAGAGCTTTCGGGCGTGAAGAGCTTTCAAGTGTGAATCTCTTCCACTTAAACAGTTTGCAAGCGGTGCGGTTGAAAGAGAAAGCTTTAATGCAAAACAAAACATTAACGTCTTAAAGCTCTAAGAGCAAAATATACAAAAACTCAATATTAACTTATATTACTTGTTTTTAAATAAAATGAAATGAAATATATATAAATAATCAAATAAAAAGGATTAAAATCAAGCATAAAATCCCATGTTCCTTCATTATGCCACTGGCCTTTAACTAGCCGGATCTCAGATTGATCTGCATACAAATGTTCGGAGGGCACAGATGATCATTTTCTCTATAATGAGGTGGAGCATGTTGCTGTTTTGCACAAGAATAGAAAGTCTCATTCAAATGCAAATGAAAGTGTCTTTCATGCTGTCACCCCTGGCTGAATTAAGGCCTCTCAAAAATCCAGCTATTTATTCTGGCGCCACCTTTTGGTTAGTCTTAGTATTACAGATATCATATGAGAACATTGTTTGGGGAGCTCTCTTGAATTATTGTGTCAGCTTTTGGATGAATGATAAAAATTTTAAAAAAAAATTACAAATAAGAGCAATGACAAATTACAAATAATAAGATAATCTTAAGGAAAATTCAAGTGTCTTTCATGCTGTCACCCCTGGCTGAATTAAGGCCTCTCAAAAATCCAGCTATTTATTCTGGCGCCACCTTTTGGTTAGTCTTAGTATTACAGATATCATATGAGAACATTGTTTGGGGAGCTCTCTTGAATTATTGTGTCAGCTTTTGGATGAATGATAAAAATTTAAAAAAAAAAAAAAATTACAAATAAGAGCAATGACAAATTACAAATAATAAGATAATCTTAAGGAAAATTCTTTTTTTAAAAAATGTGCTAGAAATGTAATCTATGTATTCATGCTGGTTTCCCATGTTATCTAAAGATAACAATTCTCAACAAAAGTATTGAAGTGGTGTAATAATCAAATATAAAGTCACAACATATTTCACTTTCATCATCATTGCTCAATCAAAATATTTTGCAAACGTTTTTCAAGAAATACCATTTCTTTTAAATAATGAATATCATGAAGGTTTTACCATTTGAGAAGCTGAACTTGAATCGGAGTATTAAAAAAGGCTTGACAGTCATGAGGGTCGACAGCGGGCCTCCCTGTGATGTCATTTGTTTATGGTAGTATTGTCACATGACAACAAAATGGCTTTTTGTAAGTTGGCTACATAAAATTGACTTTAATTTTGCATTTTAATTTTTTTTCACTTTTTTATTTAAAAATAAAACAGCTTCACCTAAGAGTTTTTTTTGTACTTTTTGATTATAGATATATAGGTCTTGGAACCTAATTTCGCTGGAAAAGTGCAATGAGTGCATTGATTGGTAAATACATAATTTAAAAAAATATGCCAAATTACTTTATAATTAGTTTTTTACAATTTATTATTTTTTTAATATTTTTTTTTATTTTAATTAATCTTATTTTAAATATTATATTATAACACTATATTATTTAATATAATAATATTATAATAATATTATTATTATGTTATAATATAATATCATTTGTTTTTCTTTATTATTTAGTTTTTCTTCTATCTGGATCGTAAAGCCTCTTAGACATATTAACTTTAAAGGGGTCATATGATGCTATTTTAAAGATCATTGTTTTGTGTATTTGGTGTAACAGAATATGTTGACATGCTTTAATGTTCAAAAAACACATTTTTGTGATGTGACCCTGTTCCCCATCACACACACATGACGCATTACTCTGTGCAAAACTCTGCATTTGAACAGTCAATAGCAAATACTTAAACTAATAACAAAACATACTTACAGTCGCTGATTCAGAGGCACCAGATTGTCATAGCAACTGTTCTGTTGTAAATAAATCTTAACCAATGATTCCTAATTGCATCTACTTCCGGAAGGCCAAATAAAGTGCTTTTGCTTTCGCACTGAAACACACAGCGTCTCCCTGACATGGCTGCATCAACACTACTGCTGTTCCTGAAACCACGCCTTCTTTCTTTGCGTGCACATTTGGGCGGCATTATGCTAATTTTCCACATAGTGAGGTAGACATGTGGGGGCGTGTTAGAACGAGCCGTTTTAGGTAGGCGTGGCTGACTCTTAACTTTTATAAAGAATATCTCTTTGGATTTGAGACTTTAGTTGTTGCAACTTTACAGATCTTCTTTATGAACCAAGAGCTTGTAACACTCCAAAGAGAAAGGGAAAATTTTAAATCGCATCATATGACCCTTTTAAGCCCAGGATAAAATACCAAAATCAATTTTAATTAAGATATTTTAATACTGTTAAATCAAATAAGGTATATTAAACTCATTGTCTGTACGAAATGCATTTGTGATGTTTTTTAAAGTGTGTAAATTGATACATCCAGATATGCCATTGACCCTTCTATGTTTAGTGATTTTATGACAACTAAGAGAAGTTTGTTCTAAATCATGAAAATTTGTTTTAACACAAACATCTAAGATAGTGTGTGATCCAAAAATAATAATAATAATAATAATAAGTTTACTCAAGATACTTGACTCTAACCTTTGACCCTGAATCCTTGTCGAGGTCATCTTCTCTGTCTGAGGCTGAAAGCTCCTCTGGTTTCTCCTCTACTGCTGGCTGTGAGAGGGTGCTGTCTGCCTGCTAATCACAAGAAAAGCAGAAGTTACACTTCACTAAGATCACATAGTAAGGATCACTTCACTGCACTTAAATCAGCTGATTCTGACAAAATACCAGGCCACAATGAGCCAAACACATTCTCAGAAGACATGCATGGAAGACACTGACTCATTCTTAAACAGAGATCAGAAAAACTAAACGTCAGGAAGATGGTGTTTTCATTGCTTAGAAATATATGCAGCAACTTTCATTTAGTAGGCTATGTCTGTTTAACAGCTTTCTAGACACAATTTTAAAGTGGCTGTAATAAGCGCTGACAGGAAATTCACACTATTGTGTGTTGAACTCTATGTGATGTGTGGGTGAAAACTGCCACTCATTAACCAGTGTTATTTTAGTAGAATTTACTATCAAAGTTTATATTAATATTTTTAAATAAATTTATTTTCAGTTTTCATTTTATTTTTAGTTATGTGCTTTATTATTTTATTCGTTTTTTGTAGTAGTTAGTTTTAGTGCTTCAGCTTAAACTTATTTCAGTTAGTTCAATTTTTTATTTGAGGTTTTCTTTGAACATAACATTCTCATAATAAGGACTCATAATGAATATGCTTAGGATGTTTACCTTTACAGAATATTTTACCACTTTTTCACATTCAATTATTTTTATTTTAAATAAAATTATTTTTTTTTTTTTGCATTTTTATTAGATTTATTTGTTTATTATTTTTCTTAGAATATTACTTATTATTTTGGTTTCCCCCAGTTAGTACTTTTAGTGCTCCAACTTAACTTATTTCAGTTAGTTGCCAAGGCATCATTAATAATTTTAAGTTTGTCCATAAAATATTTATATTTTATTTTAGCTTTACTTCAATTAAGAACATTTTTAATTTTACTTTTAGTTAACTATAACAACCCTATCATCCGCTCACAAAATCTTATAATGAGGACTCAATGGATACGCTTATGATGTTTACCTTTATAGAGAGACATAGCACTTTTTCACATTAAAATCACGAGACCATCACAGATTTGTATTAATAGTTATGTTTGCCAATAATAGTAATGTCAGTGTTGTGCTATAACAGTTGTGGGCAAGCTTTAACCTATACTCCATGACACTGTGCACAGATCTTGTGAGTGAGGTTTTTGTCAAGGCCGCCACACAGAGATGCAAACCTCACAAGCTTATATAATCCAAAAATGCTTCAAGGCTTCAAAGATAAGTGAAGATTATTTTAAAACACAGCAAAAAATAGCAATTAATCATTCCAAAAATGAAAATGTACATGCCCATTATACTCTCCCTCGCCGGAAGCCTCAATATGCGGTTCAAAATAACGCTTTGAACAGCTGAAGTCCTACAGCTAAAGATAAGGACACAGAAACACTATGTTATCTGCTTTTGACAAGATTTCTCTTATCACCAGCTGCTTCTTTAATCCAACTAGAAAAGCTTTAGCAAAAACACCTGACTTTGGGTGATATCCAGGAAAATTATTAATAGTGACCTGAATTTCACAAGAGTTTTACACTAGTTGATGCAAACATGTCATGCTAGTCTAACTGAGACTATGACAAACTTGAAAAATAACAACGTCTTACATTTAAGCAGAGCTTTAAATGTATTTAATGGAATAGCGTCACAAAGCAGAACATTGCTGAAATACTGTGGTTAAATTACTCAGATTCCTGATTCCTCTTTAGCTCTGGGTTCTTCTTCTTATGTTTTTTTTTTAGTAAAATCATAAGATGTGTCATGTTTGATAGCATGGATGTGACAAAACTGGTCACTGAGCTGTGAGACGCTTTACTTGTAAGCTCCTCTTAAAGAAACAGTTCACTCAAATATGAAAAATTAACTTACTCAATGGATCCTCTACAGCAGGGTTCCTTAAATCTTGCCCTGGAGGGCCAATGCGTTGCAGAGTTTAGCTCCAACCCTGATCAAACTCCCCGACCTGTGATTTTCTAATGATCCTGAAGACACTGATTAGCATGCTCAGGTGTGTTTGATTAGGGTTAGAACTAAACTCTGCAGGAAAGTGGATCTCGTAGGCCAGATTTGAGGATCCCTGCTCTACAGTGAATGGGTGCCGTCAGAATGAGACGGCTGATAAAACATCACAATAATCCATGAGTAATCCACACAACTGCAGTCCATCAATTAACGTATTGTGAAGCAGAAAGCTGTGTTTGTAAGAAACAAATCCATCAATAAGGCATTTTAACTTTAAACTGTTGCTTCTGGCCAAGTCCATAATGCATAATAACGCTTAATAATGAAAAAGTCCATCCCCTGCAGTCCTCTCACATCAACATCAACCAACATATTTGTTTAGAACTGTTTTCACTTGTAAACGGTGTGCATGTGTGGTTGATCTGTGCTTATTTCGCTCCTGATTCAGAGCAGTGGAGATGATTTTTCCACTGGAAAAAGCAATATTATGGATAAAGGACTTATATTTGACAGTTTGATGTTAAAAACGTCTTAATGTTTTATTACAAACATGCTTCCCAAGATGTTAACTGAAGGACTGGAGTCACGTGGATTACTTGTGGTTTATTGTGATATCTTTATCAGCTGTTTAGACCCATTTACTACAGAGGATCCATTGGTGAGCAAGTGATGGAGTGGTACATTTCTCCAAATGTGTTCTAATGAAAAATCTAACTCATCTACATCTCAGATGGCCTGAAGTTGAGTACATTTTCAGCAAATTGTCAATTTTTGGGTGAACTATTCCTTTAATACTACTATGATGAGTAAAACAGAACTATCATAGTCAATAATCACTCACATTATCTGTATGGGTTGGTTCTGTTGCCTCTGTGACTGTAATCATGGGTCCTGAGCACCAGGCCACCAGTGCCAGGTTCTGAGCTGTTGGGTTACAGTTCTGCACTGGACTGGAGACCTGGAGATCATTTTGCGGGTTTGGATGAAACTGCTTGAGTGATTTTCCTCCCTTTCCAGCACCAGACTCTCTCTCTTGCATTTGCTGTCTATACTTCTTCTTGAGGACAAGATATTTCTCTCCCTGAAATGAAAAAGGAACCATTACTTTCATATTGTTATTAAAAATCAAAAACAAAACATGATTTTCGGTGTATAAAATGCGTAAATATGATGACTAATATACAGTATATATATATATATATATATATATATATATAAATAAGTTTAACTATCCCTTTAACACAACTATAAAACACACGTTTTTTTTCTTTAAGAAATTAATATTTTTATTTATCATAGATGCATTCAATTGATCAAAAGTGATATTAAAGATATTTGTTACAAAAGATTTCCATTGCTATCTCAAAAAAAGAAACAATTGATCTCAGTTTCCACCAAAATATCAAGCAGAAAAACAGTTTTCATTACTGATAATAAGAGGAAATGTTTCTAGAGCACCAGATCAGCATATTAGAATGATTTCTGAAGGACCATGTGACACTGAAAACTGACGTAATGATGCTGAAAATTCAGCTTTGCATCACAGGAATAAATTACATTTTAAAATATCTATTTGCATCTGCAAATAGAAAACAACATTTTCACAATATTTTACTGTATTTTTGATCAAATCTTGAGCATTCTTTGTGAGTATAAGAGATACGCTTCGAAAACACTAAAATCTTACTGACCCCAAATTTATGAATGGCAGTGTATGGCTTGAAAACAATGGATTACAGTTCAGAACAGACTAAAAGTGATCTCATTTCAAGGGAAAGAACACATGCGGGACAATGATCCAAGATCATAAGGGCGTGGGGTATAGCATTAATGTGAGAAAGTGAAGCCTATCCCAGTCACAGAGTAAATAATGAGTCACTGTGGGAATAGAGACCTGTGCGACTATTCTTCAGGGGCAGGGAATAAAATGTGATCGTATTACAAATGCAAAAATGCCCTAATGATTATTTTAAAAAATTGAAGGAGGAGTTAATTAGTTTAAACTCTGCAATAATGATTTGACAACACATGTACTCACATTCTCAGATTTCACCACTGCAATTCTATCAATGATGAGTTTGAAATCTTCTCTGTATTTAGCTGGAGGGAAAAAAAGGGAGATTAAAGTGTCATGAGTATGTGCTGGCAAACATTTTTTTTCCCCAACATGTTTTCCAAATTGATCTTAAAAGAAAGGTTACTCGTACAACATGACCTTGCATGCATTCTTTACTTTGTAAACCTTAACTCAACATCAGAAGAAAACCCAAAGCATATCAGAGACTACACTCTTAAAAATAAAGATGCTTCAAAAGGTTCTTCAAGCGATGCTATAGAAGAACCATTTTTGGTTCCACAAAGAACCATTCAGTCAAAGGTTCTTTAAAGAGCCATCTCTTTCTTACCTTTTTATAATCTGAAGAACCTTCTTTCGCCCCAAAGAACCTTTTGTGAAACAGAAAGGTTCTTCAGATGTCTGAGGTTCTTTATGGAACCATTTAGACAAAAAGGTTCTTCTATGGCATCGTGAAGCACCTTTATTTTTTAAGAGTGTAGAGGGCTTCCTTCTGTGCAACACAAAATTAGTTACATTTTCTAAATGCACTTTTTTCTTTTGTGTTCCACTGAAAAAAGAAAGTCATACAGGTTTGGTCGTGAGGGTGAGTAAAAGATGACAGAATTAGCATTAGCTATAAAGGAATAGGCCAAAAATTTTAATTTGCTGAAAATTGACTCACCCTCAGGCCATTCAGGGTGTAAATGAGTTTGTTTCTTTATCGGAACAGATTTGGAGAAATTTTGCATTACATCACTTGCTCACCAACGGATCCTCTGCAGTGAATGGGTGCCATCAGAATGAGAGTCCAAACAGCCGATAAAAACATCACAATAATCCACAAGTAATCCACACCACACCAGTCCATCAGTTAAAGACTTGTGAAGTGAAAAGCTGCATGTTTGTAAGAAACAAATCCATAATTGCAGGGTTTTAAACCGTCACTTCTGGCCAAAATTCCAGTCCATAATCCATAATAATGCTTCCTCCAGTGAAATAATTCATAATTTGTTGTCCTCTCACATTAAAGTATACTGACATGTTTGTTCAGAACTGTTTTCACTTTTAAACGTGCTTGATCTGTGCATATTTCTCTCCTGATTATGACAAGCTAACTTTTTCACTGGAGGAAACAATGTTGTGGACAGAGGACTCAAATTTTAGCTGGAACCAACAGTTCCATTCAAAGACGCTGCTTTTTGCTTCACAAGATGATAATTTATGAACTGGAGTGGGGTGGATTACTTGTGGATTATTGTAGTGTATCTTCATTGAACAATTAAATAAAAATAAACGTACACAAATTATTTCAAAGAATCCCATTCTTGAGACTTTCACCTAAGAAATAAAAATGTTTTATGAAATAATTTACTCTTTTTGTGTAAAAAGTCAGATAGCACAAACAAACTTAAAAGTAGACAGGGGATGTTGTTAAACTTTCAAAAACATCATGTTTATATAATGGGTTAAAAATGAGAATAAAGGGTTAAAAATGAGAGCCACTTAAACTGGACTGTGCCAAACAGGCAAAATATATCAAGACTAGGATCTTTAAATAGAGAATGTACCCTACACAACCTTTCCGTTTTCCTGCCAGGGGAAAAGACAGGGATGACATTGCAACACAGCATCCACAACAACAGGAAACCGTAAGGGAAGTCAACACTTAACAGTTGTAGCCCGCAGAATTCCTGTCATGGTGCTGCTGAGAGGCACACAGTTTAGATTTCTGAGCAAATTTATTAGTCTATGCTTGCCAACTACATGAGGACTCTATGTTCCCACACGGAATATAGCAACTGCCTGAGATCCCATCTAAACATCCCTAAAAAGGACTGGAATCATTATAACTCCAGAATTAGAGCATGTCATGCTGGCTGGTGCGTTAATCAAGAATAATTATGATAATTGGTTAGCGGTGTCAGATGGTACCAGATAAAGGCAGATTTTGAAACCTCTGTACACAACTGTACCAGCACAGCTGGACGAGGCATTATAAGCCATTATGGATAATTGTTTCATAAATTCATGTTTGACACATGTATGTGGGATTAAATGCAACATCATCTAATTTAATTACAATTTAAATGGCTTATGAGAACATCATGTTTTTTAATTTGGCCCACTTTGCTACGCTATTTCATTTTTTTTTTAATTAAATATTAATGTTCATACACAAAACACTAGTGTTCAACCAATATTTGTTTTTCAGTGGCAGATGCTGATATCTATAAATTATTCAGGGATTTTAAGCAATATTGAGAACATGTAATCACACACACACACACAAATCTAAAAAAATATCTGAAAATAAATTGTGCATCATCCATCGACAAAGGTGCTGAAATTGAGCGGTAATCAGGTGCAAGTAATCTAAAAATAATCAAATATTGGACAATTTATCAGCTCACACATCAGTCTATCAGGGTAAAACAACAACTGATTCATTTGAGCTATCAGCAAAAAGCAAAAGCAGAGAAGCACTAGTCAGCATTATCAACTCAGCATTTTTTCAAAATGAGATACTGAATGTGTTTATGGGGACAGGAATATTCCAATATTAATCAGAATGTGGTCATATTCTGATTCAAGGAAAAGAGTCTCTTCCTTGTGCCAAATATGTATTTCTTCCATAGCTCAACTTTTCACAACTTTCTATATCTAATATCACTCAGATTTAGCTTAAAGGGGTCATATGATGCGATTTCAAGTTTTCCTTTCTCTTTGGAGTGTTACAAGCTGATTGTGCATAGATAAGATCCCTGAAGTTGCAAAGACTAAAGTCTCAAAACCAAAGAGATATTCTTTATCAAAGTTAAGACTCTGCCACGCCCCCCTAAAACGGCTCGTTCTAACACGCCCCCACATATCTACCTCACTATGTGGAAATATTTGCATAATGCCGCCCAAATGTGCACGCAAAGAAAGAAGGCGTGGTTTCAGTAACCGCAGTTAGTGTTGAAGCAGCATGTCAGGGAGACGCTGTGTGTTTCTAGACGAAAGCAAAAGCACTTCCGAAAGTAGATGCATTTAGGAATCTTTAAGATCACTTACAACAGAACAGCAATGCATTTTATGGACGACCGTTTCGTGAACCTAGGAGAGGAGGTCATTCTGACTTTGCTATGACAATCTGGCGCTTCTGAATCAGCTACTGTTCTGTTATTAGTTTAAGTATTTGCTATTGACTGTTCAAATGCGGAGTTTTGCACATCGTGAGCGCGAGAGAGAGACTGAGAGCGCGAGAGAGTGAGAGCAAAATAATGATCTTTAAAAAAAGCATCATATGACCCCTTTAATTTGGATATAAACGAAAGCAAGCCGTGTTATTCCGATTTATAGAATTCGGAATATCAGTTTACTCTGGCTAATATGCCAATCAGTGTGTTGCATAATTCAATATGACCATATTCTGATTAATATTGGAATATGAATCACATCGAAAACAACACAAGTCAGTGAATATTCCATTTAGAACTCAGCAGTTATGGTTTGGGAATGCAGAGGCCCTTCCTGAGGGAGCAAAGGAAATGACATAATTCAATGTGTAATTCTATCTGTTGGTAGTTGTTTAATCTGAAGCAGATGTTTGCCAGTTACTTCAGAGGTTTTTAAGAAACTAGCTACGTTACAGTCATTCCTCAAACAAGGCGAGTTTTTCATTCTTATTTCAGAGAGATGTGCCATCAAAAACACCTCTTAATTAACACTGCTAGGAACTCCACAAAATTAAAAGGTCTATTCTAGCGCGGTTTTTAACCCTAGCTTGCCGTGTAGACAAGGTGTAAAGCGAACGCGTCGTGAATGTGAAAAAATGTCATATTCTCATTTACTCACCACGTAGTTGCAAATCGCTATGGTTTATAAAATGCTTATATGTTTTGGACAGATCTGAATTTTTGACTTTTCCTCCAGAAGAACAGATATAATCCAGCAAGGACGCTTCACTGATCTCGCCCATCTTTGACAGGGAACAGTATTTTACAACAGATGTGATGTAGTCGTTACGGGTTTCTCTCGAAGATGCTGAAGCATGGCTTTGCTGCTGGAAGCCAAGCTAATTACTGAAGAAGAAAAGTGTACACTGACTGGCCAAGTTCACTCCACCCTCATCTGCCAACAGAACCTCCTACTGTTAACCCTTTGGGCTCTGAAGACTAAAAAAGAGAAATAACTCCATTTGCATCTCATAATGAGAGAACTGCCATGACTCTGTATAACGCTAAAATATGATTTTAGGTACAGACAAAAGTCTTTAGGAACATTGGAACACATTTATACATTTTATTAAAATATCTATAAAATATAAATAAAATATATCAAATAAAAGTGATATATATAAAATGAAATAAAATGAAAAACTATAAATATTAAACACTGGTGTTATGGAATGTTGCGTTTTAAATGTAAAAGCTTTTTAAATTTGTTTTATTATTACATAATTTTTATTATTTATTATTATGTTTTATTATTTTTTTTAGTAATGAAAACATAAAAATATAATCAGAAATAAATAATATGATTGTGATATATGATATGTGATATATATATATATATATACATATATATGGTGTCACAGCAAAGGGTCTGAATACTTAGGATCATGTGATATTTCAATTTTTCTTTTTTAATAAATCTGCAACAATCTGCAACAAAAATGTCAACAATTCTGTGTTTTTCTGTCAATATGGGGTGCTGTAATATAACACATTGTAAAATATCTGGTGTTGTGGTATGTTATTTTTTCAATTTTAATATGATTTGTTTTGTGTGTTCCAATGCTGTCCGCTGGCAGATTCTATTGTGACAACTTACCCCATGTAGTTTAACATTATGATATGTTATTGGGGCATGTTGCCATAAGGCCTTTTAAGGTTTTTTCCTGAGCAATAAAAATGGAAATGTTCAATAGATTTTTGTAGAAGACTACTGGTATACAGAAACTGTATAATGAAATATAGGACAATTCATCAGTTGCGTTCCCAAGATGAGCTTGTCTGTTAATGTTTAATGACTGGAAGTGACTGGAAGTGACTGGACGTTTCGCAACATTCTCTTCTGGACACTCATTTAATGACGGCTAGTCACACGCTTCACCCTCACTATAGTCAGACTTATTTAGCTTTATTTATTTGCACTGAGAACACAAAACAGTTCAATGTTTCAATGTTTCTTTTACTTTGGCTTCAGGGATTTGACACCTGGTAATCCAAAGGTATGTCAGAGCCACAGTATACTGTAACAAACTGCTGTAAAATATTACAGCGATATTTTACAGCAGTGGGCTGTTTTTCTAATAATACAGCATGTTGCTGTAAACTGCAGTGCATTCTGGGGTCACATGGTGGTTTGACGCAAACATACAGTATATTGCTGTAAATTTCAAATCTACAGAGGCATTGTGGGATCTTCAGTGGCAAGAGGATTGATTCACAACTGTTGTAAGCAGAGGCAGACTTACCCATAGGCAAAGGTAGGCGACCGCCTTGGGCACCCAAAAGCCAAAGGCCCCCTAAAATTATTTTCATATACGAGATGCGCAAAAGCACTGACACGCGAACGGTTGCTATTTTCGCTGTTTATTACCATGACAACCGTCTGCGTGTACACGTTGAACATGCTTCTTGTTTATCCCACTTGTAGCAAATGAAAACTTTTTATATGAATGAATCTCTGAAGGGAACCAACTGTCTTCAGAAAAGTTTCAATGGCATTTTCATTTTATATGATAACATTTATGAGCGCATCGCTGCTTTGTTTACAGCCGTTATCTGTCTGTATCTGAATGTATCTGCAATCATTCATCTATCTCTATCTGTCATCCCTCTATTTATCTCTTTGTAATAAATCTAATATATTGTCCTCTTTGTTCTTTTCAATATTTCTAGCCACTCTTAGCATCAGTTTGTGGTTTTTAGAACTGTTGTTTTATGACCATGCTAGTTAACTTGTGGTTTTAAAGTTATACAGGGTAATATGTTTCAAGTAATTAAAAAATATTTAATTTCATTCTCAATTTATTTTGGAATTCAAAATAATAAATACATAAATACAAATTTGTGAAATCCTGTGGAAAAACCTGTTTTAAAATATTATATTATTATTATTATTGTTTTGTTTTGTGAACTAATTGGTAAATTAATATGCATTATACAACATTTTATGCAGTTAAATATTGTTTAAAGCTTATGCAGTTAATGAATAGTTTAAATTTAAAATTCAGCTTCCAGTCATTAATATTCAGCAATCAGGAAAATATATATTGCATTTTACATCCTACCTCTAAATATAGCATACACATATTAAAGTAGTTTCCTGTCAAAAAAAATCCAGCAATGTAAAAAATGTAGTTAAAATAGTTATTTACTGTAACCAGGAAATACAGGAAGATGCTGTAAATTAAACTACAGCAACACTGTTGTAATTTACAGTAACTGGCTGGCAACCCTGCTGCCAGTATTTTACTGTAAAATTCACAGGTTTTTTTTCAGGAGATTAATTGCAAAAAAATGGTGGTAAATGCAACCCGTTTACATCACAACTCTTCCTCCCTTCTCACTGGCAGCGTCTGGCGTTTCCAAATGGGTTTCCATTTAATTAAGCAATATGCTTGTCATTTCATTTTCATGTGCATTAACCTCCTTAAAAATACAATAGTGGCATGACAATAAGCTCCTTAAGGCTGATACAATAACAGTAATCTCTGTAAAGTTGTTTTTATAAACTGTGCCGTATGGTCACTTTTATTTTTCAAAACACCTAAGTAATGATCATGAGCTCACAGACATATGTTATGTCTAATGGGACAGAATCAGAACAGAAAAACGAGTAAGTAATTTAGAAAAACAAAAAAAACCCAGAAAACTCAGGCCTGGTTCCTTATGGCATATGAATTATGTCAACCTTATTAGTAATCATTTGTGATGCTTTTTATTGTTTATATTTATTATATATTTATCTTTATTATTTGTGGTGACATGTAATCAGGAAAAATAAATAAAAATAATTATAATAATAAAAACATAATAATATAATACTAATTATTATTATTAATCATCATATTTTTCATTATATTATATATGTGGTAACAAATAATGACAATTAAGTAATGCATTAAAGGGGGCATAACACACACAGTTTCACCCAATCTCATGTTAATCTTGAGTACCTATAGAGTCGTACTGCATCCGTCATATCTCCAAAAAGTCTTTAGTTTGAACATATTTATAAAAGAAAGATACAGCTTTACGGTTCTCTCCGGAAAAAGCCGAGCTCCTGGAGGCGTGCCGTGGGCGGAGCTAAAGAGTGACGAGCACTTGGGCACCGAAAGCCAACAAAACAGACATCTGATGCCGTTTCACTTACCGTCTGCAGTTCTGAATCATGACCGGGATCTTTTATCACCGGGACCGCTCCATCTTTCAGTATCAAACCATGTGCAAATCCAGCGTCGAACTGGGCCTTGTTTCTAAAACGTTCGTCAACAAACACACTTGTGAAACTCCATTGCAGCGCCGGAAAAACAAACTGTATCCACTGTTTATAACGCTGGGTTCTTTAGGAAACTGAACAAAGTTATATTTCCCTTACAACCAAAAACACACTTCTTTGGGTGCGGGGGGATAAGGTTACATCTGCTTTAAATATTAAAAATATTAAATAAAAAATATTATTATCTACAATTTAATAGCTAAACTAGTAATACTAGTTAAGCACTTTTATGACAGAACAGTAACCAGGGCATCCTGATAGTCATGGCAATCATAAACATTGCCCGCTGATATGATATTAATATGATATTTTATTTGTGGTTACAAATAATTATGACAATTAAATAAAATAATAATAACAACAACAACGGTAATTAAAACCTGTCAGGACCTGTCAGTTTCTCCATCTTATGTACGGAGAGATATCAAACCTCAAACCAGATTTTCCATGTCTCCTCTTTGGATCTGTACTCAATATTCCATGTTAACCTGATAAAAACCACTGTGTCTAATGATGGCAGATGTTGCTTGGCAGCTTTAGTGACAATACAAAGGTCAGTCTGTGTATAACGGTGCCGTGTGACATGGGCTGATGATGGAAGGCAGCTGTTCTCACGGTGAGTCTCTCCGTATGGCCGGTGCTTGTCGAGGGGCCTTTAGTTTCCGCACATCCTAGTCAACATACCTCAGCTCTCATTCCCATTTCTCTCTCTCACACAAACACAACCTAAATCCAATCACCTCGGCCTCTAAAGAGGATGATGTTGATTAAAGAGAACGCAGAGAACGGTGACCAGAGAAACACCGGCAGGCTTACAGAGGGATTGTTTAGACAGACAATAGCGTCTACCTGATCTTAATCCCAGAGCTGCAGAGAGTGCTGGGATCGGCAGCGTTTAATAAAGGAAAGTGCTCTCGTAATCTGGATTTACCAAAGTGCCCTTTTGTGTTAATCAGACAATTTTTTACAGGATGCTTTATGACATCTGTCACAAGGAGAAACAGGAGTTCACGATCGTTTGTGTCAGACATTGGTCAGTTAAAATGACCAAATTAATTGGAGAAAAATAACAATCTTTTCATCGATTTGTTATTTATTGAGTTTTGAAGGAGTCCATTATTAATATGTGGCTTTCTGCATCAGGACTACACATTTTAGAGGCATATATATTTAAGTATATTATATAATAATAATTTATTATCTTAGTATCATTGCGATACTACTATAGTTTATAGTCAAAATATTAATATGTAATATTTTGAATATTTTATGTTTATATTTTCTGTTTTCATCTTGGTTTAGGTTGTAGTTTTAGTAATTGGGTTGTGTGTCTTCTCTCTCTCTCTCTTTAAATTTAGATTTTATTTTGCCTTGGCAACTATAGCTGAAATAAAGATAAGATTTTAAATCTTTTGTAACATTATAATGAAACTTTACTGTCACTTTTCAAAATGTATGATATGCCCAAAATGTATATATTTAGGTTCAAGTTTTGGTAATTTTGTTGTGTTTTCTCATTTTTATTATTGATTTTATTTTTAGTATTTTATTTGTTTATT